AACTGGTCCTTTTCCCTTGAATATTTCATTGCCCTTCAAAGTGGTATCACAGGAAAAATACCAACTAACATCAGTAACTTTAGGAACCTGGAGTGGTTAACATTGGGAGACAATAAGCTTATAGGATCTATTCCTCCAGATTTGGGGAACTTGAGGAATTTGAAAAGATTTAGCCTGGAGAAAAACAATTTAGATGGAATTATACCAACTAGCTTGTGTAACATGGAAAACTTGTACCAAATTATCTTGGGGAAAAATCAACTTACTGGAGAATTACCAAGTTGTTTTGGAAATCTTTCTTCTTTAAGAGAACTCTACTTAGATTCCAATGCACTAATGTCCCATATTCCATCAACTTTTTGGAGGAACAGAGATATTTCAATTCTCACTTTGTCCTCCAATTTACTGAATGGGTCTCTTGCAGTAGAAATGGGGAATTCAAGGGGTTCGCGGATATTACATTTACATGGTAATCAGTTCTCTGGTCAGATTCCTAGCACAATTGGCCAACTACAAAGTTTGGTTAGCCTTTCATTGTCAAAGAATATGTTAGATGGTTCCATACCTGAACTATTTGAAGATTTGGTTTCATTGGAACACTTGGATCTATCTAGCAACAATCTATCAGGCATGATCCCCAAGTCCTTGAGGAATCTTGAACATCTCATGTATTTCAATGTCTCGTTCAATGGGCTCATGGGTGAAATTCCAGATGGAGGGCCATTCATAAATTTTACAGCTGAATCATTCATGGGTAACCCTGCATTATGTGGATCATCACGCTTCCATGTGATGCAATGCAGAGTCACAAGTCTTGAAAGGAAAAGGAAGAGTAGAGTCATCACTTCTGTTCTTGCATCTGTTTCCTCAGGAGTTGTAGTCACAACCATTTTCATCATTTGGTTTCTGAAATGCCGAAAAAGGAGTACGGAACTTCCTCTAGTTGATACATTTGGTCAGGTACATAAGAGGATTTCGTACTATGATATTTCTCAAGGGACAAACAACTTTGATGAAGCAAACTTGATTGGAAGGGGGAGCCTTGGTTTGGTGTACAAAGGGACACTAGCAGATGGAATGGTTGTCGCAATAAAGGTATTCAATACAGAACTGCAACACGCATTTAGGAGTTTTGAAGTGGAGTGTCAAGTTTTACGTAGCATTCGACACAGAAACCTTGTTAAGGTGATAAGTAGTTGTGCCAATTTTGATTATAAAGTGTTGGTGCTAGAGTACATGCCCAATGAAAACCTCGAATGTTGGCTTCACTCTACTGACAAATTTTTGGATATAACTCAAAGACTAAAGGTGATGATTGATGTGGCTTCTGCTGTGGAGTATTTACATGGAGGTCATTT